CCAAACTCTTCTTCTTCTTCCTTAATATTGTCCTCCACATCAGCCAGTTCAGGAATCTCAAAATGTGTACGCAGGTCCAGTTAGTTTGTATCTAGCTTTTAGAATAGAATGGAGCAAAATTCATTTGAGAATGGTCTTATATGCATTGGGGTCCTTTGGTATGTATGCTGAAGCATTGTTCTTCTGCAGTCAGCTCGAATCAAAATGATAACTGTGGTACCTCACAGTATTTCATGTAGTATTACATTCCATATTACAACCCCACAATTGAGATGTGAATCCGCTTCTGGTCAAAACGTGCTGAGAATTGTAGTCTTCCGTTAGTGAAGGCTTCCCTATTTGTTGTGCTTTAAAAAAGATCCTGCTTCTCCCAAGATTATTCCAAGTGTCTTTTTAATTAAGCATTTCCTCAGGTGGTTTCCTCCTACCCACTTGCATTTGGCCTGCAAATGATTCATTTCCGGAACTCAAATCACACTGTTTCCCAGCTGTCTTTTTTTTGGGGGGGGGGAGGGATTAGGGAGTTAAGCACAATTGCAGGAACTTAAAAATTATTTTAATTTTTTTATTTTCAAAAGAAATGTGATGAATGCAGGAGAGCATTAAGAAGTAGCAAAAGATGCAGGAAAGAATGTAGCAAGAAGAGAGGAGGCAATGATTAAAAGGTATACAGACGAAGGTGGTCCAAATAGCAAAGGGTCTATTATGGTCTATATTGCCGCTGCCGCCCTAGCTTAATTTGCAAGTCTGCTGAAAATAATAATAATAATAATAATAATAAATTTTATTTATATCCCGCCCTCCCCAGCCGAAGCCGGGCTCAGGGCGGCTAACAACAATAAAACAGTACAACAGTAAAACACAACACTCTAAAATCATTCATTATAAAATTAATTCATAATAAGTCCCTGGAATCCAAAAGGAAATATCATTTGTGCAGCCACTGTGGCTGCTTCTAGCGTCAGTACTGGTGGCATCAAGGCACACTGGATCCTGCATTGCAGTGGTGGATATACTCAGTTAAAAGTATTGTAGGTAGTTTGATCTTAGTGGATATGCATGAAACCCAAATATAGCAATGAAAATACAATTGTGTGTGTACTGCTATATTTGCATAAAAACTGATTTTGGTTTTGTTTTAATCCCAGGTGTTGAAAAGCTATGGGGGATGCACAACACAGGACATGGAATAACAATGCAACCAGCAAACACAAGGAAAAACAAATCAGAAAGCCGAGTCAACACCCATCACAACACCAGCTGCCTCATGGACCATTCTTCTGCCAATACACACAGGTTAGACTGATGCTGCAGTTTTGTTTAAATCAGAATAATTGCCACAAACCTGGTCTTTAGAAAGATGGGAGGACAACTTGACTAATCAATTGGCAGTGACATATTGATTTTTACCTTTCGCTAAATTACATTTGTCTCTAAACAGTGTACATGAAACTCAATACAATGAGAAGAAGATTGAGTTAAAACTATGACATCAGAATTCAGTTAAAATACTGGCTGGAATAAACAGTAGGCACCAGAAGTTCAAGAGGAAGCGGGATGTTATATTGAATGTACAGCTGAAGGCAATACTGAATGCACGGCTCCTGCTGGATATGACTGTGCATGCCAGCCATGGATAATACAAACTAACTAAATAAACAAATGTCACCTCCAGCCTATATTAACTGGGTTTTTATAGGAATGTAGAAACAACTTAAAATGCCCACCGTTTTAATCCCAGGTGTTGTAAATTAGCACCACTAATAAGAACAAGTGAATCATGCACTTTGGGGTGGGGTAAGAGAGAAATGAAAATGTAGTTGCCAGATTATTTGTTTTTTGCTAGATGCTGAAGTTAGATTATTATTTTTCTTAAAGTTACTGATTCACCTATACAAGCTTGCATATATCAAGCACACTCTGGTGTGCTTGCCTGTCAGGTCCCCCATGACAGACACCCATCTACAGCCCTCATTTTGAAATTTGTATTACCCTACTTGGAAATAATAATAATCCCTTCAGACATCTGTCCTGACGTTAGCTAGGTGCAACACCCAAAATCCTTTGATAAGGATTTCTGAGCGGCTTAATTTTTTAACACCTGATGGAACAGAGACATATTATACAGAGCATAGGTTCTTCTGCATTTTAGGAAAATACAGCCATCTTGTGGCCAAAATTAAAGTTTTGATTCAGTGGCATAGAGCATGTTTTCCAGGCGAAAGCTGCGGGGGAAAATGCAAAATGGCTTGGGCGCATGCCTAGAAAGCACAGGAGAAGTGTGGACAAGCCCTGTTTTTGCCTGCTAGAATGTATCCTTGAAATGGATGTTGGGGTTAAGGCAGATAGCACAATGGGAATGTTGACCCAGCATGCAGCAACTGCAGCAAAAAGAGGAATTGTTGGGGACTATTAGGAAAGGGCTTGAAAACAAAGCTGTTGCTATCACCAATCTATGGTGCAACCACACCTGGAATACAGTGTACAGCTCTGGTTGCAGTATCTAAAAAAAGGGTACTATAGAACTAGAAAGGGGGCAGAAAGGGGCAGCCGAAATTTTTGGGGCTCCAGAGTGCCTTCCAGTTGTGAAAAAACTAAAGGAAGGAAGGAAGGAAGGACAGACCTCTCTTTTTAAAACCAGACAGCTGCAGATGACTTCATTTGCAGGAGGCAGCCCCAATTCTGCTTGCATTCATTAAAATATATGTAAGTAATACTTAGGGACACGGGTGGTGCTGTGGGTTAAACCACAGAGCCTAGGACTTGCCGATCAGAAAGTCGGCGGTTCTAATCCCCGTGACGGGGTGAGCTCCTGTTGCTCGGGCACAGCTTCTGCCAACCTAGCAGTTCAAAAGCACATCAAAGTGCAAGTAGATAAATAGGTACTGCTCCGGCGGGAAGGTAAACGGCATTTCCATGCGCTGCTCTGGTTCGCCAGAAGTGGCTTAGTCATGCTGGCGACATGACCCGGAAGCTGTCTGTGGACAAACGCCAGCTCCCTCGGCCAATAAAGCGAGATGAGCACCACAACCCCAGAGTTGGTCACGACTGGACCTAATGGTCAGGGGTCACTTTACCTTTAAGTAATAGTTGTTGTTCAACTGTTGCCAGCCTGACAAGGAAATATTTATCTTCAACTATCTGTGCATGGCATATATTTCTACCATAAACAGCTAAGACGGTATACAAATGTAATATAATAAACAAATAAAATTTTTTTAACAAAGATACTAGCACAACTTCTTTCAAAGTCTCATTTCCTACTACACAACCCCATGACAGATAGGAAAACCAAAGCCTCAAAGTGGCCTGGGAGATGACATCCAGACTATAAACCCCAATCCAAATCCTATAACAATATAAATGTAATAGGGATTGGGGCGGACTCCTGTCTCTTCCGTCAGCGGCCCATGCCCGGTTATTATTAATTAAATAAAAACATAATAACAATAAAGATTATGATATCCCTAGTGCTGGATAGCTCAGTTGGTTAGAGCCTCGTGTTGATAACACCAAGGTCGCAGGTTTGATTCCCATAAGGGGCAGCTGCAGACCCTCCAAATATCCCTATTTTTCAGAGACAGTCCCGGATTTACAGAAGCTGTCCTGGTTTCTGACTTGATCCTGGAATGTCCCGCTTTTCCTTAGGATGTCCCTATTTTCATTGCAGAAATGTTGGGAGGATGTGGTTATGTGACCCCCTCAAGCCAAGGAGATAAGTAACTATACAACCTTTAGAAGACATCTGAAAGCAGCTCTGTATAGGGAAGCTTTTTAATGTTCAATGTTTTATTATGTTTTTGTATAAGCTAGAAGCCACCCAGAGTAGCCAGGGCAACCCAGTCAGATGGGCATGGTATCAATGATAACATTATCATCATCATCATGGAATAGGAGGCCCCTATTTGCTTTGGACGGTAGGCACCAGCATATTTCTTTATTGCAGGGGGTTGGACTAGATGATCTTCAGGGTACCTTCCATCTCTATGACTCCATAATGTATTTATTATCATTACCATTCCCCGCCCCGTTTCTTCGTGCTGAGAGAGGCCGCCTGGAAGCAGCAAATAATAACAACTTCTTCTTCTTCTTAACTTCTTCTTCTTGCGTTACTCAAACCATTTCTTCATGCAGAAAATTAACTATTATTATTATTGCATTCCTCGCCCCATTTCTTCATGCATAAATTATTATTATTATTATTGTTTCTCGCCCGTTTCCTCATGCAGCAAACAACTCCTCCTCCTCCTCTTCTTCTATCGTTCCTCCTCCCGTTTCTTCACGCAGCAAATAACAAGAGCAACTATTATTATTACGTTCCTCGCTCCGTTTCTTCATGCAGCAAATAACTATTATTATTATTTTGCTCCCCGCCCCGTTTCTTCGTGTTCTGAGAGAGGCCGTCTGGGAGCAGCAAAGAATAATAACAGCAATTACTAGTATTGTTATTATTATTACTATTACTACTACTACTACGTTCCTCGCTCCGTTTCTTCATGCAGCAAATAACTATCATTATTATTATTATTATTATTTTGTTCCCCGCCCCCCGGTTCTTCGTGCTCTATGAGAGGCCGTCTGGGAGCAGCAAATAAATAAATAGATAGATAGATAGATAGATATCGATAGATTATAATATAATATAATATAATAATAATTTGTCCCCCCCCCCAGCGAGGCCGTCTGGGAGCAGCAAAGAATAATAACAGCAATTATTAGTATTGCTATTATTATTACTATTACTACTACTACTACGTTCCTCGCTCCGTTTCTTCATGCAGCAAATAACTATCATTATTATTATTATTATTTTGTTCCCCGCCCCCCGGTTCTTCGTGCTCTATGAGAGGCCGTCTAGGAGCAGCAAATAAATAAATAAATAAATAAATAGATAGATAGATAGATAGATATCGATAGATTAATATAATATAATATAATAATAATTTGTTCCCCCCCCTGAGCGAGGCCGTCTGGGAGCGGCAAGCGCCTCGCTTCCTGATGAAGCCGCGGGAGGGCCAGCAGCGTCCAAGTTAGCGCCGGCCTCCGGCTCCGCCGGCTCCTCCTTTTCCCTCCCCGCCAGGATGTGAGCTCAGCGGCCGCGCCGCCTCCTTCCTCTTGTGTAATGCTTACCGGTTTCCCGTGCGGCGGCGGCCGAGGAGCCGAGAGCGCTGGGGGCAAGCGCGGCCCTGGCCTCCCGGGACTCCCCGGGGCCAGCTGAGGAGAGGCGGTGAGTCGCCGTTGGCGCGGCGGCAAGGCTCGCGCTCTCCCCCTCACGCCTCGCCTCAGGCGGCGGGAAAGCGCCTGAGGTAAAAGGGCGCGAGGAGGACCCACACGCCGCCCCTGTTGGGAGGAGGGACTTCGCTTTTGAGGGGTCCCCAGCGCCATGGCGGGCCCCCTTTTATTGGGGGACCCTTCGCGAAGCCTTTCCTTTCTCTCCCCCGAAACTGCAAAGGGATGTTAAGGAGCAGGGAGTGGTGTTTTCTGAGGGAGGGAGAACGGACGGACTGACTGACGGGCTCATTCATGGCCGACCGCTGGGCATGGCAAATAGAAATGTTGACCAGCGTGATGGTGCCTTGGCTTCGTCGACTTGAATCCGAGACGCCACAGAGCGGGGTTTCCCAAACTTGGGTCGCCGGCTGTTTTTTTTTTAAGGACTACAACTCCCATCATCCCTGGACTACTGGTCCTGCTAGCTAAGGATGATGGGAGTTGTAGTCCAAAAACAGTTTGGGAAACTGCTCCAGGAGAGAGAGAGAGAGTATGTATGTGTGTGTGTGTGTGTGTGTGTGTGTGTGTGTGTGTGTGTGTGTGTACAGTGCTCCCCCCCCCAAAAAAAGGTTAGGGCTACTCTTATTTTGACTTGAGAAAAATCACCATTTTATACTTCAAATTGGGAAAAATAAATAAATGGGCAAAAGTACTGCACAAAGATTCACAAAATGTTTAGGGGTATGCGTCCCCCCAGAGAAAAGTGCTCTGTGTGTGTGTGTGTGTGTGTGTGTATATATATATATATATATATATATATATACACACACACACATACACATACATACAGGGTGAGTCCTTTAAAAGAGGCCCCGTGGATACAGAGTACACACGTTCCATGGGGTCTCTTTTAAAAGACTCACCCTGTATATGTGTGTATAATAAAATGTGTGTGTGTGTATAATAAAATCTTCCAAGATGAATCTTAGAAGGAAACGGAAGGAAGAGGTGTAAAGTTAAAAGGCAGGAGAAGTGTGAAATGCTGTGGTAGAAATTGGCCATGGCTTGCCGTGGGAATGTTTCTAGAAGGCTGCTTGGGAAAGCGGTGCCTTTGCACAGCCTGGTCCTTCCAAATATTTTTAGACTGACTACAATTCCCATCAGCCCCAGCGAGCATGGCTCCATGGTCAGGTGCGATGGGAATTGTAGTCCAGCAGTGTCTTGGTTTGGAAAAGGCTGCCCTGTTAAATATTCTGTGTTAAGGGAAATGGGAGCCTTTGGGTTATTAAATGCTGTGATCTCAGACACGTTGTGAAAAATGGGAACGTACGGGGACATAACAGCCTCAGGTGACTCGAGGGGTCAGTGCGTCTGGCGTTTTGAGGTTGGTGTTTTGAGCCCATCCAGGGATGACTGCAGACAGGATTCCTGCATTGCAGGGGGTTGGACTAGATGACCCTCAGGGTCCCTTCCAACTCTGCAGTCCTTTGACCCACCTAGTCCAGCATCCTGTTCTTTCAGTGGCCAACCAGAGTCCTATAAGAAGCCCAAAAGCAGGATCTGAGTGCAACAGCACTATTCCCACTTGTGATTTCCAGCAACTGGGCTCTATATCGACTTGCCGTCCCATTCTACACTTTCTAATTGATATTTTAAATCAAGTTGGTACATATGTGGACTCAGTTTAATAACATTAATAAAACAAGACATTAACATACAAATTATTATTTATAAAATATTTCAGATAGAGCCACTTAATAGTAATTTGTGTGTTTCAAAATGAAATCCTGTATTGTGTGTCGTTTGTGAAGAGCAATGCAGTTGAGATTAACAAATCGTTCTCTTGTCTTTTTTAGGCAGAGTTGTGACGAAGAACTAAAGGTCTGCCATGGGGAACCAGCTGGCTGGTATTGCCCCTTCTCAGATCCTCTCCGTTGACAGCTATTTCTCAGACATCCATGACTTTGAATATGACAAAAGCCTGGGCAGTACTCGGTTTTTTAAAGTTGCCCGAGCCAAGCACAGAGAAGGTCTGGTGGTCGTCAAGGTGTTTGCCATTCAAGATCCAACTTTACCCTTAACTAGTTACAAGCAGGAGCTGGAGGAGCTGAAAATAAGGTTGAATTCTGCGCAAAACTGTCTTCCCTTCCAGAAGGCCACATTATCTGAAAAAGCAGCCATGCTTTTCAGGCAGTATGTACGAGATAATCTCTATGACCGTATTAGTACTCGTCCGTTCCTGAACAACATTGAGAAACGGTGGATAGCCTTCCAGATCTTGACTGCAGTGGACCAAGCACACAGGTCTGGGGTCCGTCACGGAGACATCAAAACTGAAAATGTCATGGTGACCAGCTGGAACTGGGTCCTTCTAACAGATTTTGCTAGTTTTAAACCAACCTACCTTCCTGAAGACAACCCTGCTGATTTCAATTATTTCTTTGATACGTCAAGAAGGAGGACTTGCTACATTGCTCCAGAGCGCTTTGTTGATGGCAGCATATTTGCAACGGAACTGGAGAATATGAGAGATCCTTCCACTCCCCTGGTGGACTTGGCTAACAGTAATCAACGAAGCAGGGGGGAACTAAAGCGTGCAATGGACATCTTTTCTGCAGGTACTTTAAAGTGATCAATTAAACGATATGCATAAGCTGTGCCTTCATAGAAAGTGTTGCTTTCTGATTTCTGGGGGCGAGTGGGGAACTTAGTGCAGTCTTGTGATAACTAAAACCACCAGCCTTTTCCAGATATAATGTATGAGATACAGTATAGAACTACAGTGGTACTTTGGTTCTCAGACTTAATCTGTTCTGGCAGTCCATCCCAAAACCAAGGCGTGTTTTCCCATAGAAAGTAATGCAAAATGGATCAATCCATTCCAGTTTTTTAAAAGCAACCCCTAAAACAGCAATTTTATAAGAGTTTTACTATCTTACGAGACCATTGATCCATAAAATGAAAGCAATAAACAATGTACTTCAGTCACACAATCAATCAGTAGCTGAACTAGGTTCCACACAGTCAGAAAAACAAACAAAAAGAGCCGCAAAAACAAAAATGCAAAATAAATAGCAAAAACAGACAGACCTCAGTGTAACATTCAAAACGGAAGTGTGGCACTCAAAAGGGAAGTGGCACTCAAAACGGAAGTGTAACACTCAAAACCGAATTGTGGCACTCAAAACCGAATTGTGGCACTCAAAACCGAATTGTGGCACTCGAATCGGAAAGGCAACACTCAAAACGGAGCAAATTCGGCTTCCGAAAAATGTTTGCAAACCGGAACACTTACTTCCAGGTTTGCAGTGTTTGGGTTCCAAGTTGTTTGAGTACCAAGGTATTTGAGAACCAAGTTACCACTGTACATACAGGCTTTACTTCACAGTCACATTAGTCTGCATGATAATTCTTAGCATTCCTTGTGAATCCTCAAGTCTTCCTGTGATTAGCAAAGTATAATGTTTAGCAGGAGGCTTGCAAACAATTAAGCTCCACATTTGTCCAGCTAAAGTATATATAAAAAAATAACATATAGTACATCTCTCCTGTAATCATACCACTTCAGAATGTAATGGGAAAATGCATCGTTGAAAGCTCCGTGTAAAAATCATAATAAAATCATTGCACATAGAAAACTAGCAAGTAAGTATGAAGGGTCCTAGCTTAGCCTTCTCCCCAGTACGCTAGTTTTCCCCATTTAGAATGGTGTTGTTGTTTGTTTGCTTCCTTGTATTTTTAAAAACAAACAAACAAGCATGCCATTCTCTCATCTGCGTTCTGAAATGGTACTGTCCCAGGAGACATACTCTAATTTCTGTAGTTGCGAAGTACACTGAATAACAGTAGCATCTCTGTATTTTAATGGTGATTCATACTGGGCTAATTTCTGTGCCTCTGAGGGTGCTTCCAGATGTGGGCTTAATATTACAAAAAGGCTATTGAGACATTGCAAATAGGGCATTGTAACTTGCTGGATTTTCCCTTTTCTGGAAAATCCTGATTAAAGATGGGGGGAGGAAATATGGAGTGGTATTTTGATGTCAATAGCATTGTATTAAATGCATAATGAACACCATTCCCCCATAAACACCTGTCTGGAAGCAATCTGAAAGCACTTCCTGGTGTCAAATCCATGTGGCTACTTTTGTTCCACTGGGGTCTCTGCATTAAGCCTGTGGGTTGTAGTGGGAGGATTGGTCACATGAGTTAGCCCCAGATACATTAGTGAAATTGTAAAACATGCTCACAAGAAACCTTATAATTTCATGATCCACAATATTTTTTTGTTGGCATCAATGTCTTCTTACTATTTAGAGGCCAGACATCTTGCCCTGGTGCTGACAGTTAATTTGCACTTCTGTCATTCTTCCTAAGTGATGTGAATCTACATGCAGGTTTGGGGGCTTCATCATGTTGGGCAGCCCTTGATTGTTTCTGCTTCAGGAAGCAATAGTAGTTACCTTGGTTGAGAAATCCTACAGTCAATTGAAGGACAGAGAAACTAACTCCAGGCACATCTAGAGAAGAACAGCTTATTTTCATACTTTCTTTCCTTTTTCAATAAACAGTATTTGGTGGGAGCTTTTCTGCCTAGCTGTCAGTGTATGAAGTGGGTTCATATTGTGTTCTGAATGCAGTCAACTGGTAGTATATAGTCTCGCTCATTCAATAGCAGGAAATATGGATGCCAACAGGTGCTGAATGCTCCTTTTCTCCAGGCTGTAAAGGTTAATCTACAATTTTGAACTCCACATGGGGTTCTGTCTACATTGCAGCCCTAGTCATATTGTTTTGGGCCACTGATCATCTCTTGTGGATGTGTGGGTGTGTAAAACATCTTCAGGCCTGCACGTATTCTTACTGGTTCTCAGTGATGGTTTCCAAGATCATTTGAACACCAGAGGGGGGGGGGGGGAAAGGATGTGGTTGATACGCTTTTCCCACACACCCCAATTTGATGGGGCTTCTATTTCTTTTAAAAGAAATAGAATGCCCTCCCATCAGATGTTAAGGAGATGCGTAATTATATAACATTTAGGAAACATCTGAGGGAAGCCCTGTATAGGGAAGCTTTTTAAGATTTAATGTTTTACTGTGTTTTTATATATGCTGGAAGCCGCCCAGAGTGGCTGGGGCAACGCAGTCAGATGGGCAAAGTACAGTGGTACTTCGGGTTACATATGCTTCAGGTTACATACGCTTCAGGTTACAGACTCCACTAACCCAGAAATAGTACCTTGGGTTAAGAATTTTGCTTCAGGATGAGAACAGAAATCGTGCTCTGGCGGCAGCGGGAGGCCCCATTAGCTAAAGTGGTGCTTCAGGTTAAGAACAGTTTCAGGTTAAGAACGGACCTCCAGAACGAATTAAGTTCTTAACCCGAGGTACCACTGTACTACTAATTTACTATTATTATTATTAGTAGTAGTAGTATTTATTATAGCAGTAGAGTTAGAAAAAGCAAGTTCCTGTGCTGCAAGCTGAAGTCTTCATCAGCCTCCTGATGTCAGTTTTTGGAGTGCAGGATTATGGTTCTATATTGGTAACTAGAGCACTGAGGGCTGGAAGTTGAATGAACTATAGAGGTGGAGAGAAGTGATGTCTTCTTAAATGCTCAAACTTGAAAAGGAATGTGTGGGCAATTGGAAAGTGACATCATCTCCATCTTTTATAGTCTTTGGTTATGAGCAGGCAAAACAAGAGATGTCTACCAAATAATTCTCAGGAAGCTGTTCTGTATTTTCCAGGTTGCGTAATAGCTGAGCTCTTTACAGAAGGTGTACCTCTGTTTGACTTGTCACAGCTTTTGGCGTATAGAAATGGCCTCTTTTCCCCTGAACAAGTCCTGAATAAAATTGAAGACCGGAGTATTAGAGAACTGGTAACTAATTCCATTCTATTTACAGTGGCTTATTGCATTTTCCATACCTACTTTCATAATAAAGCATTGCCTTCACCTTGCTCTTTTTGCTCTTTTTTATCTGAAGGTTACCCAGATGATCCACTGTGAACCAGAAAAACGTTTAGCAGCTGAAGACTACTTGAAACAACAACGAAACAACGCATTTCCTGAAATATTTTATACTTTCCTCCAGCCTTACATGGCACAGTTTGCCAAGGAAACCTTTGTATCTGCAGATGAGCGCATTCTCGTTATACGTAAAGATCTGGACAACATTATCCATAATCTCTGTGGGCATGACCAAACCGAAAAAGCTGAAGGAGAGACAAAGGAAAATGGGCTGGTCATTTTGGTGTCGGTGATAACGTCCTGCCTTCAGACCCTCAAATACTGTGATTCAAAGCTGGCTGCTTTGGAACTGATTCTCCAGTTGGCACCCAGGTTAAGTGTGGAAATTCTGCTGGATCGTATCACGCCTTATCTCTTGCATTTCAGCAATGACTCTGTGCCCAGAGTAAGGGCAGAAGCCGTTAGGACACTCACTAAAGTTCTTGCTCTGGTCAAAGAAGTACCACGTAATGATATCAATATCTACCCAGAGTACATCTTGCCAGGTATTGCACATTTGGCCCAAGATGAAGCCACTATTGTCCGACTGGCTTATGCTGGTAAGAGGGGAGATGGGGGGCTTTGGGGAAGGTTTTCTTTGATGTCATTGCATTTCTTTTTTAAAATCACAACTGGAATAAAGAGGGAAGTGTCTGCAAATGTAGATTTTTATTTAGTGCTGAATTTATTTTTCCTTGTATGAGAATTTGGGGGATAAAAAAAAGAAATTATCAGAATGACCTGTTGTGTCTAAATTAAATAAATAGGCCAGAATGTCAATGGCAAAAACATGTTTGGGTCCTACCATCTGCCTGTCTTACTCCTCTAAAAATAACAAACCAACCAGGAGTGTGCCCTGCTACTTGTGCTTCTGACACAAGAATGCCAGAATGATCATTGGTTTCTTTGGATCTGAAACAAGTTTGTCTAGACCTGCATTCTGTTTTTGCCAGTATGTGAGGGGTCTCTTGGAACCCACACACAGAATATGATGGTAGTGCCGAGGTCCATATGGCACAGACATGAAATGGGCATCATTGGTGCCTATTGCCCATGCCCTGCCTCCAAAAAACTGGTAAAGGAAGCAATTTCTCAAAGTTCAAGCTTGGTTTTCTATGTCTGGGGTAAGCCAGTATAAGATGCTGTTATTCTGAGACACTTCACATTTTAATCACATATCACCTGTGCTTAAAACTATTGCCACTGTTGCTGTTGTTGTTAATCTTTTTTTAAAAAAAACTTGGATTATCTGTCTCTTACATCCTGCTCTGATATTTGCAGAAAACATAGCACTGTTGGCAGAAACTGCTCTGAGATTCCTAGAACTCGTCCAGTTGAAAAACTTGAACATGGAGAATGAACCAAATAGTGAAGAAATGGATGATGCAACACATCCAAGTGAAAATTATGATACTGGTAATGTATCTTTCACTTTCCTTTACTTAGAGCATGCTCATATGAATACTTATTGGGGAGTAAGCCCAATTGGATGTAGTGGTTGTTGTGTCCAAATGAACATGCATAGACTCAAGAGACTGTTAATTTTTTCATCTTTATGGTTCAGATTCCAGAAGGATGCTGAGAACTATAGTAGGGATTTAAGATAATCTCCCAATTCCTAATGAGAAAGAGGCACCAAAAGACCAGTGCCACAGTCAAGCCGCGATACCTTTATCCAGTCCTTCAGGAAATCAGACTGGTGATCATCCTAGCAAGAAATTATGACTTAAGGATAGCCATCACCCTTCTTGGCATTTTAAAGCTCTGTGGAACTTGACAGAGCACAGAGAAAACATTGTCCTACAAGGCCGCCTAAAAATAGCTGCTCAAAGAAGATAAAATATTTTGAATAAATAGAGTTTTGCACGTAAAGCAGAAGTGGGGAACATGAGGCACGGGGGCGGATTTAGCAATCCAGGCCTTTCTCACTGGCCTTTGGACTCTTCCCAGGCCACACCACTCCCATTGCCCTGCTTTGTGCCCTGATCAAGCCCTTATCAATCAGAGTGGCAGATTGACCTTTATCTGTGATAATCCCGCTTGTTTGCTTGGATGGCTAGATGTGTTTGTGGGAGGTAGAAATCTCCAGCACTTGTGTGTCTGGAATATAGCCTACTGTACAAAGTTAAGAGTCGTATCAGTTTTTCCATCAACCTTTGCCTCTGGCCTCATCCACCACTGGCATGTGTCCCTGGAAGGTTGCTGATGAGGTAATGTAACCTTCTGGCTGAAAGAAGTTCCTCATCCCTAAACTAGAGCCTTCCATATTCCCTATAGTGTTAAGGAGATCACTCCAATGGGCTTAAGTGCACAGGTATATCCTCAACACTGAAGTGTGTGAGGAACGTAATGTTTGCAGAGTGAACTTTAGGTTCTGTGCAGCAAGTACCTCTAAAGAGGAGTTGCTTCCTAGTTTCTAAAATCTAAGGTGTTTAATTGAGCAAATAGTCAGGGAGACTTTTAGTTGTCCCTTCAGTTTCAATGTTGCGCATCTACTCTAAACCTCTCACTCCCAAGGCTACACAAAGCTACCCACAAGAGGTTCGTCTCCTGATCAAAATGTTTTTCTTACCACAATTGCGTGCTGGTCCTGCTTCTGCTCATTCTCTCTTTCTCTGTTCTATCCACTATCCCTTCCCCTGCCATCTGAAGGGCAGTCTTTTATCCTAGTGCTCCTCAAGCCGCAGCAGGCCTAGAGTAACCTTTGAAGTTATAGGAATGGCCAGAAAATTGAATTTCTTGGGTGTTGTTAACATAGTGCTTTTTCTGCATATTTGCTGATCTACTTACACACATAACCACATACATCCAACAGGTAGATAGATCGCGAGCCACTGGCAGATTGCGGGGGGTCCATGGTAGATCGAAGTAGATCACGGAGTGCTCCCCCCCCCAAAAATAAACTTTGGCTCCCTAAAAAAAGTTCAACAACTCTGGTAGATCACTGCCAGTTTTTTTTAGTGGGAGTAGATCTCAGTCTCTTGAAATTTGGACATGCCTGGCATACATGATTCCTTTAGAAGCAGTGACATTGTCAGTGCAGCAAATTGGATACCATAACCTCAACCAGTTTAGAACAAGGAAGCATAGAAACTCAATGCGAGTGTTGCAGTTCATGTGGGGTTGTGACTGCGCCCTGATGTGTATGCTGTGGGCCCAACCCATGGCCTTTGACCACCCATGGCCTAATGCCGTTATATATATGAGTGTGTGTGTGTTTTAAAAATATATATTAAATAATACAAAAATAATGACCAACAAAAGGCGGGATTCCTGAGTGCAAATAATACATCACAAGGATGATGACACAGTCACATCTGGTTTTTCCTTAACCTTTTTCTATGGTCTTCTTTGTAGAGCTTCAGGCCTTGCATGAAATGGTCCAACAGAAAGTTGTCACTTTGCTGAGCGACCCTGAAAACATTGTGAAGCAGACGCTGATGGAAAATGGAATAACTCGCCTTTGTGTCTTTTTTGGTCGTCAAAAAGCCAACGACGTTCTCCTCTCCCATATGATCACCTTTCTCAACGATAAGAATGACTGGCATTTACGAGGAGCGTTTTTTGACAGCATAGTGGGTATGTGCTTGACAACAAATACCAGCTTTTTATCCTGAGGTCACATTTGGGCTGATAGCTTTATTAGGACCAACCCCAAAGTCACAGAAATGTGGTAAGCTTTCAAGTTTTCCAGAACTGTTCTTCAGACGTTATACAAATCAAGGGGTAGTGCGTGCAGGATTCCTTTTATGTGCAGATTGATAGAATGAATTAGCACAAGGAAGGAACATAGTCCCTCAAGCCTGTCACAGAAGACACTTTAACCTCAAAGCCAACATTTAGGAGAAGTTTTAGGAAGAGACAGGGTGGTATTTTAAGTAAATAAACCTAGTTAATCTATGGAAGACTAGTTGCATCAGCCTATTACTGCAGGCAAGGTCACCCCAAGTGTCGAAGCAACATGTACGGTGAAGGAGGCAGGCATGTTTTATACTATGTTTTGGGCACAGTGGTGACCTTAGTTTAGACCCCTTGGGTAGGAATTGTCTTTACAGATATCCATCTTCCCCCACACCTCTGGTTTTGTATACTACCTTATCTGATGAAAACTTTCAGAAAATTTGCCACATTTTTGTAAACTTATTGGTTGATCCTCATAAAGGTATTTTCCAACTGTGGAATTCATAGTTTTTTCTTGGGGACTAGCACAGCTACCTTTTGCTTTTTATAAGCAGATTTTCAGTGTATGAAATGCGGGTCTGTTAGTTTTTAATTGGGGGATTAAGAAGGTTTCCGTTGCTTATATGACTAATTGTCTGTGTTTGAGTGGCAGTGCTCCCCAACCTGGTTCCCTGCAGATGTTTTGGACTACAACTCCCACCAGCCCCAGCCAGCAAGGCCAGTAGTCAGGGCTGATGAAACACCCAAAACATCTGCAGGGCACAGGTTGAGGAAAGGTTGACTAAGGACTAAGCATAAGGCAGGCATGGCCAAACTTGGCCCTCCAGATGTTTCGGGACTACAATTCCCATCATCCCTGACCACTGGTCCTGTTAGCTAGGGATGATGGGAGTTGTAGTCACAAAACATCTGGAGGGCTGATTTTGGCCATGCCTGGCCTAAAGTGTGGCAATAATAGCTGAATCATCTTATGTTTGAGTAACAATAATAAATACATATGAATTACCCTGGTGGATATGACCAACAGTATATCTAGTGCAGTTCTCTGTACCCAGTTGGATGCTCCCTAGCAGCTCACAAGGGAGATAATATAGTCACATGCCATCTCTTGATGTTTATCTCTCACATGTTTTAATCAGAAATACGTTAAGTCCCATTCTTCACTCTTACAACTCATACATCTATCTGGCATGACTATATGGCAATCTTAAAGTCATCTATGCTAGTGGCCATAATATTATCTTGTGGCATTGGAATCCATTACAGTGGTACATTGGTTCCCAAACGGCTTAGTTGACGAACCAATCGGCTCCCGAATGCCGAAAACCTGGAAGTAAGTGTTCCGGTTTGTGAACGTTTTTCGGAAGCTGAATGTCCATTTCGGCTGTTGGCATTGTTTCTGGGGCCAATCAGAAGTCCGCCTTGGTTTGCAAATGTTTTGTACGTCGAATGGACTTCCAGAACGGATTGAGTTCGAGAACCAAGATACCACTGTATTTAATGGTGGAAAATAGATTTAAGATGAGACCTGATGATGAAAAGCACTGAAGCTCATGGGTAGCTCAAATTGAACCCTACTTATTTGGGTTTTTCCCTTCTTCAGGATTGCATGAGTTAACCCTGCTTGCATGTGATATTTCTACTTGCGTTAGCTTTTAGGAATTGTAATTTGTTTTTATTCTGCCATGATTACAGGTGTTGCTGCTTATGTTGGCTGGCAAAGCTCTTCAATTCTAAAGCCTCTGCTCCAGCAAGGGCTCAGTGATGCAGAAGAATTTGTCATATATAAGGCCCTCAATGCCCTTACTTGTATGTGCCAGTTAGGACTTTTGCAGAAACCACATATCTATGAGTTTGCCTGTGATATCGGTAAGCCTGCTCCCCTAGCAGCAATTTTCTACTTTTAACAATCTTTTGTCTAGCATGCCGTTTATATTGCCAACTTCATTATCCAGCATATGGCATCACTTAGTTGTGAACTTCTAATCAGAATGACATTTAAGCAGTTGTCATTCAGTGTGTATTATGTTCTTGGCCTTACCTTATGCTTTTTTACTCAGGAATGTTAGGGCTTATTTCAAAGTGACTGTGTTTAGGATTCCAGCCTTAGAAAGCTGAGAAGTCTTTGTTGCCAGTTCTACACATCTTCTAGTTCACATGTTACACAAACCATAGAGATCCTGAGTCCATTAAATGCCACATGAAGGACTTATCCACACTTTAATAACCTGAGGAAATTAACAAAGACAACCGAGTCTCAACTTGGATTTGAACAGAATAATGTTTATTTACAGTGCCCAAATGCTGGTTGGCAAGGCAACTAAAAATGGCTTTTTGGCCTGAAGTGCCAAATGGAATGTCATAGACTAGCAAGATGGTTAGTTACTGCAAGGCTGAAGAGGTCTGCTCTCATGGGCTTGGGGAAAAAAAGCATGGAGCAGCCCCATGGGAGAGAGACTGAACAAATCGGGGCATTGACAGGTGCCAGTTATAGGAAGAAGGTTTCCTGAAGGAAGTGGTCTGTGAGACACATTTAGTTGGAAAAAGATATTGAAGTCTAGCCCACCTAATGGGCCATTACACAACAAAATTCATGGATAGTGAATTTCCCGGGACCACCTGAGTCAAACATATTGAGTGTCATGTCATTTAAAAATGTGCTCGTGCCTTTGCTGAAAGAAGTGAGCTTGGGAGTTTTCAGGAAAGGCAAAAAGGGCATTTGATTTATTTTAACTGTAATAATACAGTTGCAGGTCAGAATGGAACAAAAGTCCAGGGTAGGTGTCTGCCATGAGGCAAGATCCTAATGTGAACTTGATTTGGTGTTATTTTATGTTGGATCTCCTTTGGAATTTAGTCTGAAGTATGTGTGTGAGTGTGAACTTGTTCCTGTTTTTAGGATTTTAATTGCATGACTTACATCAATTAAAATCGGTTCCTCTCTTTTTGTTCATTTCCTTCTGCAGCACCATTCCTGTGCCACCCTAATCTTTGGATACGCTATGGAGCAGTAGGATTTATAACTGTTGTAGCACAACATTTGAATATTGCTGATGTTTATTGCAAACTCATGCCTTACCTGCATCCTTTTATCACTCAGCCAATAATACAGGTAAGGAATCAACTAGATAAGCACCTTTCCTTCATTTGGAATTGCAGCATATGAAGGGCTTGAAAATAATTTAGCTTAATATCTTCATGCCCTGACTCTGAAAGCTTCGTTAGATATTAGGATGATCAAGAAGGTGCTGCGAATGCCAGCATCTCAGTGGTGAACCCTCCCTACCTCTGCTGCAATGGCTTACCACATGATGCAAAAGCATCATGTGAATTTTGCTGTCCCAGCTTGATTTCATTGGCTACCGCTGGTGGAGGTGAGAAAACCTGGAATATGGTGATCCCTAATGCATTTTCAAGGGACGCGGGTGGTGCTGTGGGTTAAACCAAAGAGCCTAGGACTTGCCGATCAGAAGGTCGGCGGTTCGAATCCCCGCGACGGGGTGAGCTCCCGTTGCTTGGTCCCTGCTCCTGCCAACCTAGCAGTTCGAAAGCACGTCAGAGTGCAAGTAGATAAATAGGTACCGCTCCAGCGGGAAGGTAAACGGCGTTTCCATGTGCTGCGCTGGTTCACTAGAAGCGGCTTAGTCATGCTGGCCACATGACCTGGAAACTGTACGCCGGCTCCCTCGGCCAATAAAGCGTGATGAGTGCTGCAACCCCGGAGTCGGCCACGACTGGACCTAATGGTCAGGGGTCCCTTCACCTTTAATGCATTTTCAGTACTCAAATATATTATTTCAGTAGGGACAGGGGGGATTTGTGACATGGATGCTTCCCCCCACTCATGCAAAACACCAGCCAGTGCAACGTGTGACCCAGCTCATCATGCATACAAACCCATCCTACCTAGGTTCTGTTGTGTAACAAACAGTTAGCAGGAACAAACAAAGCCATGCCAAAATGCATGCCAGGTCTGAGGAGCATTTTAATAAAATAGCCCAGATAGTTCAAACAGGCCCTGGGCAAATCCTGATTAGCTCTCAGCTTTCATTTTAGGGATGGGGCACCTGTGACCCTCCAGTTGTTGTGGGACTCCAGCACCCACCATCCTTGTTCCCTGACCATGCTGGCTGGGACTGATGGGAGCCGGAGTCCAACAACATATGGAGGGCCACAGATTCCTCTTTCCTGCATTAAATGCAAAGTGTAGTTTTCATTCCTTGGATGATTGTTGCGAGGGAAACCACAGTATGACTTGTGCAGTCCTTTACATGTTAAAAAGTGTTGCACAAATAACAAAAAGTAGTTTAATGAAAAAAGTGCTGCACAAATAACAAAAAGTAATTTAATATTATCCAAAGTAACTAGCTCAAAATAGTCTGATATAAAAGAAGTAGATATTTGCAAAGTTTTTAAACTTACCAGCCAGTCCCCTTTCTTTTAAAACCTACCACTGAGGTCAGTGTCTAGACCTGACCTCCCGCTCATTCCCTCAAGAAGAAAAAATCCTCAGTTGCATTTCTATGGTCATCTGATTACTTCCTTGTTCCCTGTCCTGAATTACAGATAGATAAAGAAATAGTCCTACTGAGCGTCCTCAAAGAGCCTGTAAGCCGTTCTATATTTGATTACGCTCTGCGTTCCAAGGACATAGGAAGCCTTTTCAGAACTCTACAACTTCGTCAGAAGAAAAGGAATGGCGCTCTTCCCGACTGCCCTCCCCCTGAAGATCCAGCAATTGTGCAGCTGTTGAAGAAGCTACTTTCTCAAGTATATTCTTACTGCTATAATGGTAGTGCTGAGAATCCACAATAAAGCAAGGACATGTATTGTTTCAGCATCTGTACTACATCAAAGTAGTACTTTGCCAGCGGCGCTGACAATTTCTCCTGCACAAGCCCCATTGAAATGAATCTGAGTTATGAAACAGCAATGGTGTCCTTTTACATTTCAGTGGGGCTTGTGCATAAATGGAAGTTCTGTTTAGGAACCCATGGCTGTAGGAAGCTTATCAGATAGTCACCAAAACTATGTGGTTGGTCTTCGTCCCAGATTATTCTGTTTTATTATTAATTCCTATTGAGTAAGAGCTCTCTCAGCATAAGAACTTGCATAGAACTCATATTGGCTTGATTTCCCAAATGTTTTCGTATCTGGGCAGCCCACAACAGACCTTCCAACATTCTGACCATTATTTGGGGAAGGGCCATAGTTCAGTGCCACAGTATCTGTTTTGCTTGCCCCACATTCAGTTCCTGGGATGTTTACATAGGCCTTGGAGTGCCTCTTGTCTAAAGAGACACCTGCAGAGCCAGGCGCCAGCCAGTAAAAGACTACTTAGTTAGCTGGACCAATGGCCTGGCTCCGTATAAGGCAGTTTCCAATGTCCCTGTTTAAAAAAGGTGCCCTGTTATATTGTGGCAGCCAAAGCCACACATTTCTTTAGTTACAGTGTAAATCTAACTTTTATATCCTGAACCCTCTTGAGCCCAATTGCCACATGTTAAAAACTGAAAATCTTTGCTCTGTCTTGATAAACTGTCTATTTTTTGTTTTCTTTTGGGATAGGGAATGACTGAGGAAGAAGAAGACAAGCTGTTAGCCTTAAGAGACTTCATGCTGAAGTCCAACAAAGCGAAGGCCAACATAGTGGACCAGAGCCACCTTCATGACAGCACCCAGAAAGGAGTGATAGACTTGGCAGCTCTGGGTATAACCGGGAGACAAGTTGATCTTGTTAAAACTAAGCAGGAGTCTGATGATAAACGTGGTTAGTATGGTCTTGTAATTTGCATTGTTGCTTTGTTTATAATTTTATATTGGAGGATTTAAAATGCTTATAGTAGACGTGGAAGAGTCCACTATCAACACATTCCATCCACATCTAGAATATCTGCTTACATTGAACTCTTCAGACTGAAGGCGAAATTTAACGTCTTGAGTTCACATACGTCTTTATCGTTTAGTGGATGAAACATTGCAGATTTGAATGGGCCATCAAGCTTTCATGTGAAACTCAAGGTTTTCTTAATGGAAGCAATTCACATATAACAAGTGATTGCGCTGGCTTATTGAGTGATCTATAGGCCTGTGTGAATTAGTATAATATATGAGGATGGAGGTTCTGTACCAAGCTTGACTACAAGATATTCTCTCACAGCCTCCAGTCATGTTTCTCCAATTGTCAGTCTAGTTTCCTGCTAAACTACTAAAATAGGAAAATGGACAGGTTTTTATAGCTTTGTATAGTTTAACTTGGGGGGACGGGGGTGGCGCTGTGGTCTAAAACCACTGAGCCTAGGGCTTGCCAATCAGAAGGTCGGCGGTTCAAATCCCTGCAACGGGGTGAGCTCCCGTTGTTCGGTCCCAGCTCCTGCAAACCTAGCAGTTCGAAAGCACCTCAAAGTGCAAGTAGATAAATAGGTACCACTCCAGTGGGAAAGGTAAATGGCATTTCCATGCGCTGCTCTGGTTCGCCAGAAGCAGCTTAGTCATGCTGGCGATATAACCCGGAAGCTGTCTGCGGACAAATGCCGGCTCCCTTGGCAAGATGAGGGAGCAAAATGAGCACGCAACCCCACAGTCGTTCGCGACTGGACCTAACGGTCAGGGGTACCTTTACCTTTATAGTTTAACTTTGGCAGCAGTATATGAAGCTGTAGTTGGTTGTAAAAAAGTAAAAATCATGTGAATTGAAAGTGTCATAATAAGGAAACCCATTTTCAAGCTAGGTAGGCACAATATATTGAAATGAAGTTTCTGTGTATTTTGCCCTATTTGTCCAACTTGCCTTTTCAGATATAATTGGCTGTGTCTGTTCTAACTTTTAGATGTGTTTACATAACGGCCTGAAAAACCATCTTGGAGATACATGATTCTTTCCCTACCACCACCACCACCACAAACTTGGCATTCTAGAACAATTACTTCCTTAATGCTAAGGCCAGCATAACCTTGCAAAAATCCACAAAGTTCATTCACCAATCTGTATAAATAAAGATGACATGGGTCATCTGCAAAAATTAGGCTAAGCATTCCAAGTTTATTTCATCTGCTGATGGATTGAAACCTTTGCCCAAGTCATGTAACAGCTGATTTATATGATCCAGCACTCAGTTTAACATTATGCAACAATAAATCAGGTTACGTAACTCAAAACTCTGCTTATACAGCTAGAATCCTGTACATTTTGGTTGTTTTGTTATAAACAAAATCTTACAGTGATCCTTCTTTTGGGCCTTGCTGACCAGCTAGAAAACACGTAAAACAAGATTCAAATGTAAATGAGGAATGGAAGAGTATGTTTGGCTCTCTGGAACCTTCTAACATGCCTCAGCCAATTAGCAAAGGCCACAGCCAAGCCACAGATCAAGAAGCCATTCAGAGTGGGAAATCTCTTCGGTCAGAGTCCTCCGCTGGCATTTGTGCTCCTTTGTCATCCTCACCACAGGTACTTCTGGGGATTTTTAAATTAGTGTGTTTTACCATAGAATTAGAAGAGTTGCCAGTAGTTTTTAACATAGAGTAATTTATTTTTACTCTCAATGCTCAATCATTTCTTTGAAATAGACTCTGGATCTATTTTTTTATACTATAAACTGCCCTGTGATATCCAGCTGAAAGGCGGTTTATAAATTTAATTAATAATGAATAAATAATATTTTTAAACAAGATTAATAGTCCTGAAACTACAACTTCTGAACTCAAATCAGCTTTTGATTTGGATGTTGTGGGGTGAATCAGATGTTGAAGAGAATTGTCAAGCCAACAACCCACTAGTAAGATACAGAACTCTTGACTGACCTGTGTCTTGGGCTAAATGAACCTGTGAGTGGGATCAGTGGTGTCACCCCTGCTTGGTGAAGTTTGCAGCTCCATAGAGCAGCTCAGAGTCTGCTCAAACAGTCAAAATATTTTTGCATTAGGTTATCATAGGTATCTGTTGTTTTTATGTTTAATTTCCCCCTGAACGCATTTCTTTTTGTTGTTGTCCCCCCTACCCTATGTAACACTGAATTGACAAGTGTGTGTGTGTGTGTGTGTGTGTGTGTACGTACGTGTACACACATACACATATACATACACACATTTCATGCATCTGATAAAGTAGTTCACAAAAGCTTTTCTCATTATAAAAGTGTTGGCGTTTAAGGTACCACAAGACTCTCTGCTGGTTTTGCTACAGCAGACTAACACAGCTATCCTTCTGGAAGTTATATTTGAGATCATCCGTAGAGACCTTTTTCAGGGCGCCCTCAGCACCTGAGCTTTGCCTACTGGGGAGGTCGTTTTCTATGGTTGTGGTCCACCTGTGCCTCACTTTGCACCAACTTTTCTGTCTTTAAAGAGTCAGGCAAAATCTGTCTTGTTTACCTGGGCTTGCTTGGGATCTGACTGGGAAAAATCCAGGATATAAATAAATAAAATTAAACAAGCAATAAATTAGTAAAATGGTAGTTTGGAGTACAGGCAGCGGCTGTTTCACGTGCATCTGGTTGATGCGTGATCACACACACCTGGAAGTGGCCCAAATATGGGCCGGGGTGGGCTGGCGCACACTCTGCCAACACGTGTGGGGATCGGGAATGGAAACCCCGTGCAAAACAGCCGCTGCCTGTAAAGTTGATTTCTGATGCAGAAGCTGGTTTTGAATTATAGAAGAGAGGATGTCGCCCTTTCCTTTGAAACATAAAACACGGATTGTGTTTTCTAAACGTGACTGGGCTTATTCCTTTCAGGCAGCAGATGGAACTGTTGTCCAAGCCAGAAAACCAACCATACAAGTGTTAAGCAATATAGCTTCGCCTTCCACATACCAGCTGCGCATTACTACTTGTAAAACGGAACTTCAGCAGCTGATACAGCAGAAACGTGAACAGTGCAACGCAGAAAGAATTGCCAAGCAGATGATGGAGAATGCAGAATGGGAGAGCAAGCCACCGCCTCCAGGTAATACTTGCTATACTCTTGACATACCGCCAGAGCTGCTATGAGGGTAGCACCGAACTGACTCCTTTCAGCCCTGCAAACACCAAGGTATACTGGCATGGGGTTGTATTTCTATTTATTGTGTCCTCTGAAGTCCAATTTGGCTGGTCTGCTTGCAAAGAAATAGAACATGTTAGCAGGAAACCAGGGCTCTGTATTACAGGGGGAGACTTCACAAGTGGAGGAGGCTCCTTGCTTGCGGACAGGTCAGCCTCCAGCTTGGTGGGAGTGGAGGTAGTGCACTTGTTCCTGCTGTTCTGCTCTACTTATGAGTGTAATGCCTGAATGGGGTTTTAGTGGCTTGTAGATTGAGGGGCTGGGAGCTGGGGGCACTGTTATACAGTGCTTCCGCTCCTTCCTCCTGGGCCGTGTTCAGAAAGTGGTGGTGGGGGATGAGTGTTCAGACCCCTGGGCTCTCACTTGTGGGGTGCCTCAGGGTTCTGTCCTCTCCCCCATGCTTTTCAACATCTACATGCAGCCGCTGGGAGAGATCATCAGGGGGTTTGGGCTGGGTGTTCACCAGTATGCGGATGATACCAAGCTCTACCCCTCTTTCAAATCAGAACCAGTGAAGGTCCTGTGTGAGTGCCTGGAGGCGGTTGGAGGATGGATGGCAGCTGACAGATTGAGGCTGAATCCTGACAAGACAGAAGTACTGTTTTTGGGGGACAGGAGGCAGGCAGGTGTGGAGGACTCCCTGGTCCTGAATGGGGTAATTGTGCCTCTGAAGGACCAGGTGCACAGCCTGGGAGTCATTTTAGACTCGCAGTTGTCCATGAAGGCACAGGCCAATTCTGTGTCCAGGGCAGCTGTTTACCAGCTCCATCTGGTACGCAGGCTGAGATCCTAGCTGCCCGCAGACTGTCTTGCCAGAGTGGTGCATGCTCTAGTTATCTCTCGCTTGGACTACTGCAATGCACTCTATGTGGGGCTATCTTTGAAGGTGACCCGGAAACTACAAGTCATCTAGAATGTGGCAGCTAGACTGGTGACTGGGAGAGGCTGCCAAGACCACATAACACTGGTCTTGAATGACCTACATAGGCTCCCAGTACGTTTCCGAGCACAATTCAAAATGTTGGTGCTGACCTTTAAAGCCCTAAATGGTCTTGGTCCAGTATACCTGAAGGAGCGTCTCCACCTGCATTGTTCAGCACTGAGGGCCTTCTGGCAGTTCCCTCGCTGTGAGAAGCCAAGTTACAAGGAACCATACAGAGGGCCTTCTCGGTAGTGGCAACCGCCCTATGGAACGCCCTCCCACCAGATGTCAAAGAGAAAAACAACTTCCAGACTTTTAGAAGACATCTGAAGGCAGCCCTGTTTAGGGAAGCTTTTAATTGTTGGAAGCCACCCAGAGTGGCTGGGGAAACCCAGCCAGATGGGTGGGGTATAAATAATAAATTATTATTATTATTATTATTATTACTACTACTACTACTACTACTATAGTTTGTCAAACATCACTTGCATGTCGTTGCTACAGAGCTGCTGAACCAGTGCTGTCTGAATGTAGTTTGGAACTTAGCTTTGTTAGGTGGCATGTGACGAAAGAAACAAACAAAAATTAAGGTAGCTCTGTCAACTGTAGTAGGCAGAGCCAAGCGGGAAACTTGCAATCTTGTTTAAAAGAGAACATGCTACGTAACATAACAGTATATATACAAGTATGTGTCCTGGTCCTTTGCAGGTACAAAATATCTACTTGTGTGGACACTTTTGAATTACTTTTCACACAAATAGTTTTGTATTATTTTGATTAAAATATTCACACCATACCTTTCCATCATAATGGGGTGTCACACCCGTTTACAAAACTTAAATATTGTCATAAAACAGCAGACATTGCAATCATCAGAAGCTTGTGGAAGCAGTTGTTTTTCATTGCCACCTGACAGCCAAACAAGAAAGTGCTAAATGAATAATTGTATGCTGCCCAGTACATAAAATAAGGCCTTTGAATAGTTCTCTCTACTCTGTGATGAATTTGGAATTGAAGTGCATCTACATTGTAAAACTCTAAGATATATTTTAGTTTTCCATCTGTGAGAAAAGAGAGCCAGAAACATGGCAACATTTATCCTTCATGTACTTTGTAAGTGATATATGACACGTAATCCTAATCCTATAACTCATTAGTCTCCATGTAGCATCTGACCTTCCTAGAAGCAAACAACATGCAAGATGTTTACTGGCTTGAGAGTCTAGTTAAATTTCTTGGCCAAATGCATTCTAATTCTTTGCACATTTCTGAAATATTTAAACAAGCTCCTGTCCATTCAAAAGTAACGATGCTAACTTTGTCGAAAAGACAAAGCATTATAAAACAATTTGAAAAGTAAATCTTGCATTTCCTGTTCACTTTCAAATATATTACATGTTGATCCTGATTTAGTAATTGCTGATATATACAGTTGTCACAGTCTAAAGTCCCATGTGTGAGACATTTTGCAAAAGGAACTCCTGCATGTGTTTGCTTCACCGCTGATATTAATGGGAAAAAATTCTTTTGCTTTCCTTAGGATGGCATCCTAAAGGGCTTCTGGTTGCTCACCTTCATGAGCATAAGTCTGCTGTGAACCGCATTAGAGTTTCTGATGAACATTCAATTTTTGCCACATGTTCAAATGATGGAACAGTGAAAATATGGAACAGTCAGAAAATGGAGGGCAAGACGACTACTACTAGGTAATGCATAACACCACAGGATGGCAGGATACTCATAAATAATAAATAAATAAGATTAAAACTTTTGCACCAACACAAATATTTTGCTACCATCTGGGTAGCTTAAGAACACATGCTCACTATTTTTTTATTTTGTATTCATTGGCAATGGTGTTTGAAATCCTCTTGGATGTTGCGGTTCAGATGTGTTACTAAAATAACAGAATCCAGCAGTTAAAAATTATTTTTCCTTTGACTTACACCATCCCTTTATTCATATATATTTATTACTTATCTTGCTCTATCTCTATCCACTTCGACTCTTCAGTGTTTAAACAGTGAATGAAGAGCTGAAGTAAAATAAATATCACATGGGCTCAGCGTGGCTTATAGCACTATGTTTATACACCAATAGCTCTGTTCCCTAAGGTTTCACAATCTCAGGAATTAAATGGTCTGAGGGATAGACTGAGTCGGGGCAAAACAAAATCTGTTTTTTTAAAGTGAGTTGTTCATACCACAGCCAAAGCAACCATTAAAAAAAAAATCATAGAATAATGCTTTCTGCAGACATGCTAAATGTCTATTGTTAAAGAGGTGCTGAAGAGTTAAGTGGGTTGAATCACAATCTTTGCCCAGGAAGTAGGTGAATCTTTACTCCCAGGCTTTGGAATGCTGCTCCTCTCCAGCAGCAACATAAATTAAGGAGCTGCAGAGTGGGATGTTCAGATATAGGGACTCTGTAGCTGTTATTTCACATACCCATCCCTTCCAGATTAAAAAGGAAAAAGAAACAAAAATTCCAGAAAATAGTAGTCACTTATTCGCCTAACCATATGAAGGACTACTGAACACATGCAGGGACCAGTTGGGTTAAGACAAACAACTTCACTGAATGGAAAATACAAGTCTTTGATTGCTTACTATGTAAAATGTACTTGCTGTATCACTGTTAGTGTCTCCCCCCACAATTCAAATAATAAATATATTCCTATCCAATCATAACTCAGCTGATATTATATCAGGTGACCCAACTTGTAATTTCTCTCCCAAGTTGATGGAAAAGGGGATCTCTTAACAGAAAATGCTCATTTTCTGCAAATTCCCAGGATTCTGTAGAACAAGCCATGATAGGAGAGATGTTTTAAATTTAGTTGTCTATTTGATATTTCATTGGGCCTTACTGTTCAATTTGTGTAGATTTTTAGAATCTAGCAGTCTTTGAACTATGTCCTTTCTGCTTTCTATGACAGGTCAATCTTGACATATTCCCGGATTGGAGGGCGTGTGATGACGCTTACATTTTGCCAGGGTTCTCATTACCTGGCTGTAGCTTCAGATAACGGAGCTATTCAACTTCTTGGGATTGAAGCTTCAAAACTACCCAAGTCTCCTAAGATCCATCCAATACAAAGCAGGTTTTTATCAATCCTTTGATGCATCCCTTTGGGTATCTGTTGTGCTCACTAGCAGGTTCATATTAGAAGCCTGAAATGGTATAGTCTACTCTTGCCACCTCATTCTCCTGAATGTGTGTAGGTACTACACCCAGGGCCGGATTTAGGTTTGATGAGGCCCTAAGCTACTTGAAGGTAATGGGGCCCTTTATATATTCAGCTGTCCTTTGTCAACAACAAATTGTTGCTGTTTTTTTGTGTTGAATATATGCTGTAATTTATGGACCTAATAGGTATCTAAAGCCATTTGCACATAACAAAATATGTATTTTATCAAAGTAATTGTTGAACTTATCTTATATTTTGGAAATGTACATCCAGTTTTTTCCCCTTTAATTTTTTTGGGGGTTCCCAAGAGAGTGGAGCCCTAAGCTATAGCTTGTTCAGCTTATACGTAAATCCGACACTGGCTACACCTCTGCTATACCTGAGTTCCTTCATTCAGATACTGAGTTTATTGTGGGCACTGAGGAAGATAGAGACATGCAGAGAACATTTTGCTGGTGTTACACTGCCCTCTCATTTTTCCTGCCAGGGAGGTCATTCTTTTCCAAGATTTGTGAGAGGGCTGAATGAATACTTGGGGCATGAATGATAAAACAAGTATCTGCTATAACTAGGTACAGAATCTCCATTCAGATCCAGAATTAGTAGTTCCAGCCAAATATGCATCACCAAAACGAGAGCAGAGTGGAAGGCTATAGGCAAAAGAAGCAAGAGTGTGGACAATTTGAAGTCCTGTGACATTTCAATGAATTATACCCATCTTGTCATCTCCTTTACTCAGGTTTTTAGATCAGAGGGACGATGGCTGTGTCGTCGACATGCATCACTTCAATTCAGGAGCCCAGTCAGTGTTGGCTTACGCCACTGTGAATGGTTCCTTAGTGGGATGGGACCTGAGATCTTCTAATAATGCCTGGACATTGAAGCATGATTTACGGTTGGGACTTATAACCTCATTTGCTGTAGACATACATCAATGCTGGCTTTGTATTGGTAAGATGCATTTTGTGTTTCCCCCATTAAATAATTACATGTATTTAGAATCACCATATACAGTGGTGCCCCGCAAGACGAATGCCTCGCAAGACGGAAAACCCGCTAGACGAAAGGGTTTTCCGTTTTGAATTGACTGCAGACAATTCCCTATGGGCTTGCTTCAAGCAAATGTCTTACGAGTCTAGAGATTTTAATTAATTCCCTTTATCTAATCTGCTAATGCCTTTATAGCCTTTAATAGCCTTTTGGCAGCTAATCTCTAAGCCTTTAGCCTTTGATAGCCACTAAACCGCTAATAGCGCTAATCCGTTAAGCCGCTAATAGGGTTGCTTCGCAAGACGAAAAAACCGCTAGACGAAGACTCTCGCGGAACGGATTAATTTCGTCTTGCGAGGCACCACTGTAAATAAAATTGCTCTTTGTGAAGGTCTTGTGGGGAATGACTGCAACATCCTTGCTTTCAAGAGGGGCAGTTTAGTTAGGTTGCCGGAGAGATGGGTGGATTTGACGTCAACTCCATTTTCTGTTACGGATTTAATCTGGGCAAATCATGTCCTCTCGTTCTTGGTTTCCCAGTAAGTTGCTATGCAGGGCTGTTACAAGGGGCAAGTGCACTAAATCTCTTTGCGAAAGATAAAAAGTGTAAGTGATTAGCGGAAATCAAAGATGTCTTTGAACCTTAGGCATACTGGTACAGTATATGTATAATCAGGGCCAGTGGACATTGCTTAAAATGTCATTAACTTCAGTCTTAACCATGTCTAAAGGTAAAGGTAAAGGGACCCCTGACCATTAGGTCCAGTCGTGACCGACTCTGGGGTTGAGGCACTCATCTCGTTTTATTGGCCGAGGGAGCCGGCGTACAGCTTCCGGGTCATGTGGCCAGCATGACTAAGCCGCTTCTGGCAAACCAGAGCAGCGCACAGAAACGCCATTTACCTTCCCGCCAGAGCGGTACCTATTTATCTACTTGCACTTTGACGTGCTTTCGAACTGCTAGGTTGGCAGGAGCAGGGACCGAGCAATGGGAGCTCACCCCATCGCAGGGATTTGAACTGCCGACCTTCTGATCGGCAAGTCCCAGGCTCTGTGGTTTAACCCACAGAGCCACCCGCATCCCTACATGTCTACTCGGAAGTAAATATTGAATTTAATGGGGCTTACTCCTTGGTCAGTAGGGCTAGGATTGCTGCTGATAGTCTCTTTTTCTTTACAAGGTACAAGCAGTGGTACCATGGCATGCTGGGACATGAGATTTCAGTTACCCATCTCTAGCCATTCCCATCCTTCCAGAGCACGGATCAGACGCCTGCTTATGCATCCCCTCTCCCAGTCATGGGTGATTGCAGGTAGAGCTCACTCTCTTTCTCTCTCTATCAGAGCACTAGCAAAATGGCAGATGGCCATCCATCCTCTGCTTAAAAACCTCCAAGGAAGGTTTTCTTATGGGATTCTGTTCCACTGTACTGTAAGTTCTTCCTTAGGTTTAGTCGGAATAAGTGAGGGCATTCTCCAGCGGTTGCTAAGGGACAGTCTTCACATGCATTTATTTTAATGAGTGCTGTCAGCAGCCAAGTAACTCGCTTTCCTCATCCCTTTTATATTGCTAGACTACAATTCAATAAATAAACCCTAAGATGTAAGTCTGCCCCCATTCCTGCACTTTTGGTTTATAACGGTTGTCCATGGCTTTTCCGTAGCTGTTCAAGGCAATAATGAAGTCTCCATGTGGGATATGGAAACAGGCGACAGACGCTTCACGTTATGGGCCAGCAATGCCCCACCTCTTTCAGAACATCAGGTTTGGCTTTCTGATTGTAAAGTTTTGAGCAGAATAAAGCAGGCCTATGTAGTTTTTAGTCCTTTGGTGGATATTAAATGCCCATCATGCCAAAGTTTTATGTTTTCAGTTGGGAAGAGATGTATTATCTATACTGGGTTAAGCAAAATACATTTCGCCAATTCTGAAAGCGCTTCCTGTGTACTTCTGGGTGCAATTTAAAGCACTGATGTTAACTTATAAAGTCCTGCGTAGCTTGGGGCAAGTGTACTAAGCTCAGATAGTGGTACCAAACAAAATGATGTAAGCTTTCAGTTTCTCAGAACTCTTCATTAGGCTAGATAATACATGAAGCAGAAGTTGGGAAGATGATGCAGAGGGGATTAAAAAAAATAACCTTAAGGTTTGCATTCAGACTCGGTCTGAAGATGTAGATTACAGACTAAATCATTTAGCATGCAGGCTGAATTATATGCTTGCAGGCACTGAATTACACATAGATTCTTGGATGAAGAGGCAGTTGCTGAGCCCCATTTTGAAACGTAAAAACCTGGCTATCACTCTGACCTGTCTCTGTTTTAGCCCCTATTTGCTTACTTTAGACTTGCCATATGTCCCGAATTTCCCGGATATATCTGGAATACTGCAGTCGCAAGCAGTGTCCAAGGGGAAATTGGCCAAATCAATGGAGAAATCCTGACATATGGCAGCAACCCTAGCTTACTTGGAAGTAAGTACCACTGTCCTCATTGGGGCTTACTCTTGAGAAAGTGTGCATAAGATTGCAAGCATTCAAACCTATACACGTCTACCCAGGTGTAAGACCTATGGGGACCAGTGGGACTTACATACTTGTGAATAAGTGCAGGGTTGCAGCCTTAGTGTTTTTATCTGCTACTGTTTGAATATTTTTCTTTTGCTAAATGCTCAACAGCTGTTTTTATTCTCCTTGTATTGTTTTCTATCCTGAGATTTCAATTTATTTCATAACTTGTAAATTGTCTTTGGTATTAAGTAAATAATCAAATGTAAATGTGTGGATACAAAATTTAAAATGATTAATTTGATTTTTTAAAAACAAAACAAAACAAAAAAAATGTTTATAGTTGTAATTCGAAGTTCAATGTCTTTCATTAGAAGCTACAGCTATGTGTTCAGGATTAGTGCCTTAATGACATGATTGTTAATTAAGATAACTCAGTTTTTAAAAGTTAGCATATTTTAACACCCGTTGTTGAAAAAAAACCTATTCCCCCCCCTTTAGCCTTCACCTCATAGTGTTCATGGAATATACTGCAGCCCAGCAGATGGAAATCCTATATTACTGACAGCAGGTTCAGACATGAAGATAAGGTAAAATCTAATAAATGATGATATCTCACCACCACAGAAGCTAGAGTTTCCTTTTCTGCATAAAAATCCCGTATGAAGTAAAAAAAACAAAAACCAATCTTGTAAGGTTCAGAATTTATTTGACTAACATATTGATTCAAACTGGTTGGTGGGAGGAGGGAACCTCCCAGATTTAGTGTGTGTTCAACCATTCTGTATATGGGACATAAACTTCTCCCTTTTGTGTAAACCTGCTGAACACCAAACTGTAAGGCTTTGAAAAAGAAATATACCCCCCAAGTACCTTATAGAATAAAATTTTCTAGTCACCTGATGTAAGGCTAGACAGGCCTGTTATGTGACCCTATACCGCTCTCCTTATGATAGCTGCAATGCTGTTTTAAAGCCTGGAAGGATTCTAGTCAAAGATTTTAGGTTTTATATTGTCGCCTTTGTTCTTTGCAGGTTCTGGGATTTAGCATACCCTGAGAGGTCCTACATTGTTGCTGGAAGTTCAAGCAGCCCATCTGTGTCTTATTATAGGAAGATCATTGAAGGCACAGAAGTTGTTCAGGTATAGTTGCTCGCAAGTCTCATTCCCAGACCTGGGAAAGTGGGAATTGTTCCGCTGTCACTGCAGGCAGTAGCTATCTGTGAGCACATTCATATTCCGCATAGCAAACTCAACAGCTCTGGATTCACTGTCAGTTTTGCATGTAACAAAATAAAGAGTGTATCCAATATGCACTTGTTGGGCTTAAAACAGGAAAGCACCTTTCAGGGACGTGGGTGGTGCTGTGGGTTAAACCACAGAGCCTAGGACTTGCCAATCAGAAGGTTGGCAGTTCGAATCCCCGCGACGGGGTGAGCTCCCGTTGCTCGGTCCCTGCTCCTGCCAACCTAGCAGTTCGAAAGCACGTCAAAGTGCAAGTAGATAAATAGGTACCGCTCCGGCGGGAAGGCAAATGGCGTTTCCGTGCGCTGCTCTGGTTCGCCAGAAGCGGCTTAGTCATGCTAGCCACATGACCCGGAAGCTGTACGCCGGCTCCCTCGGCCAATAAAGCGAGATGAACGCCGCAACCCCAGAGTCGTCCGTGACTGGACCTAACTGTCAGGGGTCCCTTTACCTTTACCTTTCAATAAAAACAGTTAAATACAATGCAAAACAGGAAAGCACCTGAAACCAAAAGGATTTAGTCATCAACGTTTCACCATTTTCCCTTTTCAACAGGAAATTCAAAACAAGCAGAAGGTGGGCCCCACGGATGAAACTCCTCGAAGGGGTCCCGAGTCTTTACCAGTTGGGCATCATGACATTATCACAGACATTGCTACTTTTCAGACAACTCAAGGATTTATAGTTACTGCATCACGAGATGGCATTGTCAAAGTGTGGAAGTAAAAGTTGCACTGACCTATAGGAACTGTAAATACAGGTAATAAAGAGAAACAGGACGGGATTGAGTCTCTTTTGAAGAATTGTTTCGAGAACATAAATGATGGATTGTAAAGCTCATGACGGTGACCAGTGGTCCTTTCAGAACCTGCCATTGTATTAAAGTAGAGTGACTCATGCAGTGTTTTTCTGAAACAACCAAGCAAATGCAGTTTAAAATGAAGGCATCACGCTTAACTTCTGACCATGTTATTCTTTGGAAGTCTAACAGATGGTTTATTATCACATGAAGAAATCTGTTACATCAACAATATTTATGTAAACTGACTTTGTTTTTTTATTTACTTGAGCGAATGAGAAAGAACGATAAAATGGTTGCACTTTTGTTCATGTATATTCAAATCCCTGTATACCTAATAATGAAAAAATAAAAAGAGTTTGGATCATTCCTGTGTGCCAAAGCTGTGTGGCAGACTGCACAAACAGCATCCTCTTTGAAACATTCATTCACAATATACCAACCCTAGCATGTTTTAAATCCCATGTACTCCTCACAACTGCACCCCATAAAAAAAAATAGATGCAAACCTAGTCTTCAACATTTCCCCCTATGTTTCAGACCAGATTGTTTCATCACTGTAGCCCCGTAGCTGAGGCACACACCGCATTGATACAGTAATCAGCAGGATCTGTGTGGTTTCTGTCTACAAACATTATAATGTGGCGTAGAAATCCAACCCACATAAAAAGTGACCTACTAAGGCACAATGATGTTTAAAGTATCGGGATGTTTATCAGCTGGAGGATGTGGGATTGAGGGGTGGAGGGTGTCCAATAAAACTTTCGGATGAGTTGGGTGAGCTGGAATGGTTGGGCCGTTTGAAGCAAAAAAAATCTTTTGTGTGAATATTTTTGGAATTAAAAGTCCTCGTTCCGCTCACCCTTTTTTTTTTTTACGCTTCAGAATGATACAGTGATTTATTTGGTTTATTTAAGGGATTTTTACTCATCCTTTAGTTTAAAAATAATCCCAAGGTGGAGCCCTTAAGCAAATACATCATCCCAGTTTGACATGTTAACAGATGTATGTGTTTAAATTTCACATCTAATAAAATCATGTAGAATGATGGGGAGGGGGAGGCCCTGAGGATTGTTTACAGCCACATGGCCTTGTTAAAATTCCAGAGGGATGGGGAACCTCTTTACACGGCCCTTGAGTTTTTCTGCCTCACTGGAATATGCCCTTGAGATCCGATAATGCTTCTTGTGTTAATGGGAAGATAGGTGAGAGTGGGGGAATGTGAAGAAATGAGTTTACTGTACAAAGGTAAGATTCACTTCCATAGCTCCGCCCACTTTTGTCTCTGGCCCCGCCCACCACTGCCATGTAGCCGCGCCCCCCCCCCCGCCCCCCAGAAAGTGAGATGTGACCTTTGGGCTGACCAATGTTCCCCAGATCTGGAGAGCAGGATTCCGAGCCTGTGTCACCTGATGTCAATTTTGTTTGTATGTTGAGGCGTAGATTTCATACCCTCCAACATTTATCCGATGAATATAGGGACGTCCTATTCCATAATCCTAATAATTTTATTATTTATGCACCACCCATCTGACTGGGTTGCCCCAGCCATTCTGAGCGGCTTCCAACATAGACAAAAGCATAATAAAAGATTAAATAACTTCCCTATAAAGGGAAACTACCATCAGATGTCTACTAAAGGTTGTATTCTTTATCTCCTTGGTTCAGGGGGTCACATAACTCCATACTCTCCAACATTTCTCTGATGAAAATAGAGATGTCCAAAGGATGTATAAGTAATAAATGATAATGATGCTGTGTAAAGGTAAAGGGACCCCTGACCATTAGGTCCAGTCGGGACCGACTCTGGGGTTGCGGCGCTCATCTCGCTTTATTGGCCAAGGGAGCCGGCATACAGCTTCTGGGTCACGTGGCCAGCATGACTAAGCCGCTTCTGGCGAACCAGAGCAGCGCACGGAAACGCCGTTTACCTTCCCACTGGAGTGGTATCTATTTATCTACTTGCACTTTGACGTGCTTTCGAACTGCTAGGTTGGCAGGAGCAGGGACCGAGCAACAAGAGCTCAGCCCGTTGCGGGGATTCGAACCGCTGACCTTCTGATCGGCAAGTCCTAGGCTGTGATGATGCTGTGTACACCCCCTTAAATGCCCCATTGGAATGACACCATGCCATGCCACAGTGGTGCACCAGAAGTGCTGGGGGAGAGGAAGATGGTACCCCACCTGGCGAGTGGCAGCTGCCATTGGACTACTGCAATGTGCTCTATGTGAGGCTACCTTTGAAGGTGACCCTGAAACTACAGCTAATCCAGAATGTGGCAGCTGGACTGGTGACTGGGAACGGCTGCAGAGACAATATAACACCGGTCCTGAAAGACCTACATTGGCTCCCAGTACTGAGCACAATTCAAAGTGTTGGTGCTGACCTTTAAAGCCCTCAACAGCCTCAGCCCAGTATACCTGGAGTATCTCCACCCCCATTGTTCTGCCTGGACATTGAGGTCCAGCTCCAAGGGCCTTCTGACGGTTCACTCCCTGCAAGAAGTGAGGTGACAGGGAACCAGGCAGAGGACCTTCTCGGTAGTGGCACCCGCCCTGTGGAACGCCCTCCCATCAGATGTCAAGGAAATAAACAACTATCTGACTTTTGGAAGACATTTGAAGGCAGCCCAGTTTAGGGAAGTTTTTAATGTTTTATTGTGTTATTAATATTCTGTCGGGAGCCACCCAGAGTGGCTGGGGAAACCCAGCCAGTTGGGCGGGGTATAAATAAATTATTATTATTATTATTATTATTATTATTATTATTATTATTATTTCCCTTGACAGTACTTCTGGGGCAACGGCACATCATGAGACTGAGAAACCTGGAGGCCCCCTGGGCTGGTCATTGTTGCAGCTCCATTACCACTCATGGAAACAGAGCCATTAAATTTAACGAAGGGTTTATCCTTTCTAGTAAACCCTGCTGCCCATGAATATCTCCTCCTGATTTGCCTTCCTTTCACCATCCCCTGCCCCTTTTCAGCCCAATTTCCAAAAGGTCGCCTTTGCCCCCTTCCCCAACCGCCCAAGTCTACTGTCACAAAATATGGCATTGGCAGTGGTGAGAAAAAAAATTCTATTTATGGTGTTCTCTTATTTTGGGGTGGGGGAAGCTATGGTCCTTCAGACAGTGCAGCTTGTATTGGCACAGGGTGTTCCAATGAATTGCAAGAAGAGCTTCTCTCTTTGTATTTGGGTTGTGTTTTATTTCTTTTAAAACAAGATAATAGATATGTGTTATCACATAGCACCATGAGGAACACTCATCTCACCACAAAGCCCATCTGGAAGTGCTTTCTTTTGCCGGTAGTTCTAACTATCAAGCTGTCCCTTCTTATAGGACTGAAGACACAGAAGTGGCTCAGGTACACGAAGCATAATTTCACCCGTTTTGATTCCGAGATCAACTTTATTTGCACACATTCTTGCATCGATTTGTAGCCCCTTTATAATCCACAACCACTGAGCTATCTGGGATAGAGCGAAAGAGGCATCCCTGATGGGGGACAAGGTTTCAGTGTGCTGACTCAGCCCATTTGACACTTGCACGGCATGCGTTTCCCGTTACCTCAAGTCCAAAGTGCAGATTAGAAACGAGGGTCACAGTGAAATGAGTAAATCCCCACACAACATCATATCATCCCATGTACAAAATGAGCACAAAATTAAAGAATCAGCCGTCCAAAAAAGCAACCTTCCACTGCTATTGCATTACAACATCAGATTGGCATTCAATATTTTTTTTTGGCTGGACTGTCTTCAGAGAGCACAGCTATCCAAGGACACTAACAAACACAATCAGGAAACAAAACGAACTTTTAAGAAGAGTTATTAAAAATGGTTCAGGTCTGAGCAAGTGGGAACGAGGGAACTATCACTGATGATGTCGTCGCTAAGAGACACTTGCAAGTATGGACATATTCCATATAGCAAACTCAACAGTGCTGGGTTGGTTAGCAAGTTCCAAACTACAAAATACAGCACATCAGTTTGTGCATTGATTAGGCTAAAAGCCAGAAAACCTCTGGAAACAACAAAGGAATTGTGGCTTCTACGCTCCATAATTTTCACTCTTCTAAAGGAAATTCAAAACAAGCAGGAGGTGGATTCACAGATGAAAACCTTCTAATGTACAGGAAAACATATTTCATTCTTCAGCCTGTCTTGTCAGAACCATCACTTTGCACCTTCCCAAAATTGTCTTCAATTTGTCTTTGTTTTTAATAGAGATTTGTTTCCAGTTCCTGAACAAATGAATCAATGAGCAAAGTCATTAGCAACGACGACGGCAATAGAAATGGAAGTGCAGTACTTCTCAAGTTGCTGCAGAGGCATACCGGTATTTTCCAACCCAAACACGTTGCTAATTTCCAGGTACCTGAAAAGGGAAGGAGAATAATGTTACCTGCTGAACTTTAGGGCATGATGCAGTCGATGCTCAGCAGGTAAAGCTCTCTACCCATGGAAATGTTTGTTGGAAATGTAAGGAAAAGGAAGGCACCTTCTATCATATGTGGTGGAACTGCAAAGTGATAAAGGAATTCTGGGAAATGATACGCAATGAATTTTTTTAAAAATTAAAATAACTTTTGTAAAAAAACTAGAAGCCTTTTTGTTAGGAATTGTAGATGCAGAGATACCAAAATAGCTGAAAAGACTGTTTATGTACGCTACAACGACTACGAGGATACTTCTTACCCAGGGTTGGAAATACAACAATATAACTACTAGGGAAGACTGGGAGATGAAACTATTGGACTATACAGAGATGGCAAGATTGATCAGGAAAATCAGAAATCAGGAGGATCAGAACTGCAACAAAGAATGGGACAAATAAATATTGTATCTGAAAGACCACTGTAAACACTTGAACTCTTTGGCAGGCTTTACATAACTCTTGCAATGATACATAGATTTTGGATACAATGGAGGAGTGTAAGTTAGCTGGACTTATAATATGCAGTTAAAACAAAAAAGTTATTTAAAGAACCGACGGAGGGGAGGAGGGAAGTCTTGAGATTCGGAAGAATCTTGTGTAAACTTTATTATTTGTAATCATACTGCTTCTGTGAATGAAAAATATGTTTTTTTAAAAAGCTCTCTACACATGGAATGGGGGCTGACAAAAAGGGCAAGTAATCAGTCAGTGCTACATGGAACGGCAAGAATAATTCTAGTTGTTTTGTTTTTTTAAAGCATCTTTATGGGACAAAGAAAGTCTACTTACAATGATCTGCTGTCCACTGCTGAAGGGATTTCCAGGGGTCACAAAATCATATGGTGTGGGCTCCCGAAAAGCAGATTCGGTATCTAGAAGCATAGCTCCATTTGACATAGTGTTGTCAACAGCAAAACTAGGTATG